CTAATGCTGAGATCCGGTGAACAAGCTCATTTTTAGGCTTTTACAGATTTAGTCTTATTCACACCAAGTCTTTGTCTATCCAGATGGAAGCCCATGATTTTAATCTATTCAGAGATCTCCTCCTCTTGATCATTAGTTTTCCTTGTTAATCAGGTGTCAGCAATGTTTGGAGGCAACTTGTCTGACCGTGTGAAAGGTGCACACAATGGCCTGTCCTTTTGGGCGATGATGAAAAGCCATCTGGTAGGTGTGAGGCTTTCCAGCTGTATTTTAATATTTTTGAATTAAACATTTTTGAATACATAGAGAATAAAGGGCAGAGACACTTGCTAGGTGTTCCATAGCGAGCCCTTTATTTATGCTTGCAGAAATGAGAAAGAGAAAAAAAATCAAAGAAAAATGGAAGAGAAAAAGGAAGATCAGCATACATAATTAAGAAGGAATTTTTAAAAATCAAAAACACAATTTGCAAGTAAAAAAAGAAAAACAACCTTTGTTTTATATCTCAGGGCCAACCTAAATGGACAAATATTTTAAGGGTTTGTGAAAAGTTCAAGTGTGCATTTAAATGAAAATGATGACGTCTTCCTTTCCAAGAAGAGGAATTTGATAGAAAGAGTAATAGAAGAAAAAAAGGAACATTTTGTAATAGAATACCCTTGTACTTTGTATTTCTGATTTAGAAGTCAGAGTGCATTAAAAACAAGATGTGTGAGTGCCTTTTATGTGCAAGGTGGCAAGGTGTTTTTTCCTAGGCACTGAAGATAGATAAGCTGGATCTGATGTCAGTTCCTGTTATCCCATACATTACAATTTGCTTTCCAATGGAACATCAAAATGACATAACAAATTACAACTCTCCTGCTGAATTTTACTTGTTTCTCTTTTTCTTTCATGTTAATAGTTACATAAATCATTCAAGTGCTGCCTTATTTTAACTCTGCAAGAATTTCCAAGCATTTAGAGAACCTAGTTTTTTCTCTTAAAAAATTATAACTCATTGCGGAGACAGATTAAAAATAACTTAATACATTTATTATATATATTACTTGGACCCCAATAATTTAGGATTGCTGGGCATATGAACACAGACGGGGTTGAAGTTCAGCTGTATTTCATCTTTGATCCAAGAGTTTACTAAACAAACAATATTTAGAGGAAGATTTACATTTTTCAAGGAAAAACTCTTTTAATCTGTGAGTCACATGTTTTGAAGCAAATCATTTCTATTAAGTACATAGTGTTCTAACTAGTTACAATAGCAGTTCATGATAAATCTCAACTTTCTCAAATTAAGAACACTTTACAAAGGATCAGTGTTCTGCTGTTCCTTTTCTCCTGAAAAATGAATGTTTTTCTTTTAAAAATATTTTAAATATATAACTTGGACACAGTTTTTTTGGCTCACCTAATTTTTGAAGTTGGGTTGTGAACAAGAATGGCAAGAACATGAAATTAATATACAATCATCTCCAAGTACTTAAGGGGTTGCTGGGTGACTTCCTTTATTGGAGGAGGGACGGTGACAAGATACTGTGTAATTCTGGGTAGGAATGTGACTGGTCCTGTGTTATAAATTTTGTGTTTTAGAAGAATGCTCATCTTGTAAGCCTGGCATTGTGCCAAGGACAGCATACACCTACCTTCCTTCTTTAGGAGAAATGGTTCCTTGGGGAGGGTAAATTTATATTGTCTTACATGCGTTTTAAATGCAGGCCTGGAGGTTGCCGCCGCAGAGCCTTGTTAAGCATCCAGATAAGTAAGCAGTTTTGCAAATTACAAAAGTGATCAATTTGGCTTTTTCAAGCTACAGCTCTGAGACTAACTGTGCCCTTCCTAATTTGGAAATATTTTCTTTCTGGTTTTTATTTTGCCATGCGCCCTGCTATCTACTTTCGTTGCTATTTCCAGCATCCCTCAGGAGCTGCTTCCGTGGTTGTCATAGTGCAGACACACACTCAAGAAAAGCAAGAACTCGGTGCTTTCATAAAGCATTTATTTTTATTTGAAAACATTATACAGGCATTACATTGCCACAGCCAGTCCATAGGGGAGCATGCAAATATCAAAAATGGAGAGTTTGTTCAACTTATTGGTGTAAATTTCCTTTTTGGTTCATATTTTCCATTTGCAGTGCCTGGATTAATGTGCTTTGTTATGTGGCTTGACAATAGAATCCTACCCATGGGGTAAAATCTGTCCTGGGAGCTAGCTGGGGACTACTAAATGGTTATAAATCAAAAACAAACCCAAAACAAACAATACTACACGCTTCTCAAAAGGTTAATAGCACACGTTAGCAATATCTAAACTAAACATTGAAACATTTTCATGGTGACACAGTGGTGCAAATTTTCTATTGCTTGGTCTATCTGGTTGCACGTTTCAGAGTTTGGAGCTGTGGGAAGGTGTGACCAAGGCTAGCTCTGTCCCCAGTGCAAAAAGTTTTCATTGAGGCAGTGAGAACCACCACTTATCTCTAGGTGGGGTTGAGGAAAGCTGTGGGTTGTTTATCCAATCAAATTCTATACAAATTGCTAGTCCCATTCATGGAGGAGTGAGGGGTGGTGCATTGAAAAACTGAAATTTTTGCTGGTGTCTACTGAGGTTACGAAACTTCAGAAACAAAAACAGCTTGAGTTACTGTTCTATACCCATTTCCCACCCCGCTCCCAAAAGATCAATATTTTTACACAGAAAAAGAGTTTTTTCTCTGCTATTTCTTTTTTTTTCCTAAGGGTTGATCTGGAACTCCTGATCTCGGACAATTTAGTGTTACCGGCCTTTCTAAGTGGAGACAAACCCCAGTGACATGAACATCGCATGTACAAGGACACTGGATGATAAAGGATGTACAGTGAATTCACCTTAACACTCACACTTGGTTTCCATACAATGGAGTCAATTAAAATATTCTTGAAAAGAATTCAAATGGCAACTTTTAACCATCCACTGATTGCAAACCTTTGTGAAATTTAAGTTTTAAAAAGGATTCCCAGTCCACTGAGTTGACTAGGAAAACTTTTATCCACCTATTTCTCATAAGACTTTACTAAGCGTCTACAAATTAGTGTCATAAAAAAATGAATAAAAAAAGACTAAAACATTTGGCTTAAAATAAATACTAAAAATGCAATAAATCAAGCAAATTATGCAAACCAAAGGAATGTAAACACAAAAATAAAACCACAGTCTTTAAAGGTCTTCAGATCTGAATGGACAAATAGTCAGAGAAAGGTATTTAATTGGTTTAAAAGGTAGCAGAGAGCAGACATTGGCAAAGTTGTTATGACCTGTTATAGCTTTAGCATTGTTTTTTTGTTTGTTTGTTTGTTTTTCCCCCAGAGAAAATACGACATATTTCTCAGGGGGCTGAACACAGATGACCAAAAATCCGTATATCAGAGATGATTTTTCTTCCCTACCTTCAAGAACAGGAATACCTGCCCTGGCGGAAGGCCTGCAGAGGGGCCACGTGGAGGTGTCACCAGACAGCATGGGGTGCTTTTGCCTCTGTATTTAGGTCTTGCTCAGCCTAAATGGAAACCTCGACTAAGCTGCAAGCTGTCCTATTAGTTTACAAAGACCCCTCTGGCGTTTTGCTTTACTTCCTTAAGATTCATTGATTTTAATTGCCCAAAGTTTCATCCATGGGAGATCTTTTTGAATGATATGGAAGCCAGCCTAACATATATTGACACATAGAATCTATTTTTATATCATAGAGATCTGTGGTGTTTCTTGACTTTCTGTGTTTTGGGAAAAGGGCTATTTTAAGAATTAGACTAGTGACATATTCCTCAGAGTCTTTTCAGGACCATACTCTGTATCCATAAGAACATTGTGGTGATATATTCTGTTAGTGAATGGATGCCAAATATGACCAAAATGCCAAACTTCCTCATTGGCGACATCTTTACTGCTACAAAGTGGCCAGATCAATTGAGCTATTGTCAAAGACTGCTCCATTTCAGCACCTTAACTTTGTTTTGAGGCCTCACAGCCAATAAAATTCCACAATAAAGGTGATTTTACATGCTTTTGTATTTCAGAAAGGGTATCACACAGTTAAGAGGAGCATGGGTTTTTCTAACACCTTGATTAATTTCCATATTTCACTAAAGAAATCTAGGGTAAAAGCAAATCTACTTTTGAAGGGGGGATATAGGAAGGGGCAGAAATATTTTAAAATAGATATATATTACCCTAAACACAAATTATAGTACTCCTGGGGTTTCCTATAAGCCACAGAAATGGAACATTCCTTATCCTGTTATTTCCAGGACTTGATTGGCAGAATCAAGGTGGCACAACAGAAAGACAATGACCTGGAGTAATCAGAGATCAAAATATAAAAAGGCAAACATGTTTGTTTTATATCTATTCCTAGAATAGAGAATTATATGGTCAGTTGCCCCTCCCCACAAGGGTCACAGCACAAAATACTTATTGAGCAGGCAATCCAACAGGGAACAGAGGAAACCGTTAGCGACCAGGTCCCTAGGATAAGGAAAGTTCTCAGGGTGGAGCTCCTGTGGCGTGCAGCACTCACATCCACTGTGCAAAAAAATAAAGTATGATATTTAAAAAGTGGCTTGCCATAAAAAAGTGGGATTTATGTTAACTACACGTGGGTCTGGCAATAGTTTCCATCAGGAGTTCAAAACATTCTCCTGAAACTCAGTGTAATAAGAGTAACAATAATAATACAAATAATAATAATAATACTTGCTTTTGATTCAAAAATTTTCACAGTAATTAATGTAAGGGGGTTGTGATCAGTATACACGCAAGTGAGGCATCTCTCCAAGTCAGGTGGATCGGAGCCTGTGTCTCCAGTGATGTTTACCTTGTGCCTATTACAGGCTTTTGGATTTGCTACCTTGCAGTCCACCTTTGTAAACTGCACCTAATAAATACCTTTCTCTATGTACAATACAGAGATGATGGGCAAACACACGGCCACTAAGTTGTGCTCAGTGGGCAGGGATGGCCTCATCTTAGGCCACACGGACGTGGGGCTCCTCTTCGGTCTCCTGGCCCAGGCTGGTGTAGGTGACCGAAGGCTCCACCTGAGCCGTGGCTGGTAAGTCCACAACAGGTCCCGAAGGATTACGGAACTGCTTGTATACCCGGGGATCCTGGGCTATGTATGTGGAGGTGGAGGAGTAGATCACCAGCCCGATAAGGATGGTGAAGAAAGACAGGAGATAAAGTCCTGAAAACTAAAAAAAACACAACACAAAGCTAGTTAGCATTCAAAGCAGAACCACTTATACATTAATGAGGCACAGGGAGATGAGAGTGGAATTGCTTCCTCTTAGAACCAGCAGCTTGATGAGTTGGCCAGGGCCCTTGATGGAAAGCGAATTTGCTCTTCCTAAGCTGGTTTGGTATTATTGCTTCTCCTAACCAGTTTTTCTCTACTCTGTGGCTAACACAGAGAAACACTTAGTCAATTGTCCCTAAAATGCCAGTGAATACTTGATGTGGGAGAGCTCATTAAGCCCAAATTAAAATTCAGCAACTTAAAAGCAAAAAATCTCCACTATCACTCAAGAAAGAGTTGGCTGTCTTTGGCTTTATTAAACCCACTAGAAATATAGATATTTCATCTAAGGTTGTAACGAAGCCCTTAACAGCAAACCCCCTCTTGACACAGCTTCATCAGGGCACTCTCATTTCTTCTTAATCCAGTTAAGACTACTTGTTTTCCCAGTAGGAACTGTTATTGAACTATCTTTGCATTAGATTATCCTTGGAGGGAAAAACAAAAAAAACACTATAACATTCCATTCTTGCCCCCCCTAATCTAAAAACAAAACCAAACAGGGCTGTATTTATAGTATTTTGCTTCCTACACTACTTGCTTGACAGTTCATAGAATTTTGTAAGAAAAAAAGAAAATAATGGTTTCTACAAGTGCCCAAGAATTTATACACGTTTTTGAAAAACTACAATTTCTGAACCTTCTTGAGTAGCTACACTGGAAGTACCTACTTGAGTAGTTACTGGGGGACAGTGAGGTAACAACATATATTTCCACTTCTATTAATTGATTCATTCATTTCATTCAACAAATAGTTTCTTCTATATCTTCTCTATGTCAAACACTGAACTTTGTACTGGAAAAAAGAAACAAAAACGTACGGTCCTTACCATCAAGAACTTAATATTCTCAGTGGAGAAGCAGGGGTATACAGATAGACAAAAACAATACACTGCACAGTGGCTGATCAAACCTCATTTTGGTCGAAAGCTATTGTCCCCATCTTGAATACATGCTACATTCAAGGGGAAAAAGGCTCGATTTGATTTTCTTAATTTTTTTTTGCTCATATTCTAAAAGAACTAGCAACTGATAAAAAGACAAAAGTTCATTGGAAGCTGGGAGAAAGGAGAACAGGAAAGTTACCCAGCATATCTATAAAGTAAGCTGCAAGGCTACAATAAAGAGTTAAAAGATGGTTATAATTGGCAAGGCAGTTTTGAAAAAGGTACATAGAAAAGAGTCAGTTCTGTGGCTAAATTTCCTGCCATGGTGGTGGTCTTCTTTCTTTCTTCTTTTTCTATTTACTTTTTAGCAGCAGCAAGGTAGCTAAGACTAAACATCATTTTCTGCTTTTCTTTCTAGAAAGAAAATGGTATGATTATACTTCTTCAGTTGGATTTTTATAGTAGGCTCAATCTGCAGCAGCTTCACTTAATGAACTTGAAATAATTATTAGGAAAAGAAGACCCCCTAACTCAGTCGTCTTGTATATGATCTCAGAAAACCTACATACCCCCTGAGGTGCTTCCTGAAATTCTACATTCAAGAGATTCATCCTTTATCCAAAACTTTGGTGAATGAAATAGGTTTGTTCTTACTCTATCATTTCAAATATTTTTTAATGACTTTTATTTGCAAAACTCTACTCATGCCTAGCCCTGGCCATGTGGCTCAGTTGATTTAGCATCATCTCATACAACAAAAGGGTTCTGGTTCAGTCCCTGGGTGGGACACAGGCCTAGGTTATGGGTTCAATCCTCAGTTGAGGCAACCAGTTGATGTTTCCCTCTCGCATTGATGTTTCTCTTTCTCCATCCCTCCCTTTTCTACTCTGTAAAATCAGTGAGCATGTCCTCAAGCGAAGAAAATAAACAAAATAAAACAACAACAACAAAAAAACTCCACTCATGTTTCTTTGGTTTCAAGTGGAGAGCCTTGCAGGTCTAGGTGTGAGCCCACCTCTGCTGCAGCCGAGGGAGGCGGCGAGATTAAGAACGGGGCTTCGAGGTTAGAACTGCATCCTGCTATAAACTGGATTCAAATCTCAGCTCCAATACTTTCTAGCTGTCATTCTGGACACATTTCTTAGTCTTTCCAGGTCCATGTTTCCTTATCAGTAAAGTGGGGATAATAATTGTACCTACTATACAGGGTGGCTATAAGGATTAAATTAGGAAAAGCATGTAAAGCACTTATCCCAGAGCCTACCTTGCAACCAGCATTCAATTCATACTGGCTTCAACTCATACTAGTTATTATTATTATTAATGTTTTGTTATTATTTTATAGCATGCTATTATAATCAATGACTAGTCATATTAAATTGCCTTTCTTTCATAATCCCTTGACTTGAGACTGTGTTTTTCTTGATTAGGGCAAGGTGCAGAGCCAGGCATAGGGTAGGCATCTACTAAATGTTATGTGCTGTTTATTTTTATTTTGAATAGATAAGTTTCAGATTCAAGAAAGAAAAAAAATTATAAAACAACCTGTACCAATAGCGTATTTTAAATTTTTTAGCTTTAAACTTTATAATCCAATGTCATTTTTCAGACATAAAATATTAAACAAAAACTCATTGAAAGGGAAGTCATAGTATTGATCCTTAATCATCGACCCCAAAAGTCACCTTCAGACCTGGGATAAGTCAGAGGAGAGTGACAGGATGATGACCTGGGGGAGGAAATGTGGAAGGCAGGGGTCTGGATGGAGGACTGAGCGCTATTGATCAGTGAATTGGAGTAAGAGGTTTAATAAACTTGGGGTGAACAAGATTTGGCAATGGAAATAGTATAGGGTTAATATGGCAAATATTTTAATATATATATTTTTGTAAAGCTATGCCTTTGCCATTGTAAGAAATAATACCTGAATTATCCCTTTTTTTTAGACATGGGACCATCAAGTTGAATGACAAATTCACTACAAAATATTTTCCTGGGACATATATTTAGAATGACAACACATCTGTACTACATTTTCAATGAGTTTCCATTTAATTCATACAGAATTTACTCTAAAACTGTCAAAATATAGATAGCACGGAATTTTATATGGCAAGGGGCCTCTTGGAAGCCACCCAAGAGATTTTATTAATAGATGGTAAAGAAAGTTTTTATTTAACACATTAGCACAAAAAAGAAGCAGAAAGACAGGTATTACTGTTAATCTGGATCAATATTGATAGAAATAACAAGAAGGTTGAATTTGTGAAAAACTAAAAAAAAGGTTTTTTTTATTCCTTAGATTGACAGGAAAATAATTTCATCAGAGTACCTAATAGGATGACCCTCAGCTGTGGCTGCCACACTTACCCTGACAGAACATTCTTAAATAAAAAAAGAAAAGAAAAGAAACCAATCAGTCAAAAAAAATTCTGTATATTCCTAGCTATGTAACTTGTTATCTGCAAAGAAATACTCATTTCTAGTTCTCTAAACAAAGAGAATAGAAACGTCTGTGGAACTCTGGAGGGGGACTGAAAGCTGGCTCTGAGTTACAGACGCGGTAGGTTCAGGCCCAGCGGCTTGCTGTCTCCATTTAAGAATGTGGGCTGCTGTCTGAAGCGTGCTGGCATCCTCCCCCAGACAACGGTAGGCCATCAGGAGATAGTGTATGTTCTGTGCAGCAGGCACACTTCTGCCTGCATCGAATCTGTCTTGTGGCTTTGAGGAGCTGAGAGAGCACGCACCTTGCATTTACACTACCACACTGCACCCTCTATTTACTTTGTTACCACCGTTCTCCATCTTGACAGGTCTTTTTGCTCACACAGGTTAGAAAGCATTCACAGCACGTAAAGAGAATGCCAGTGTGCTCCTAGGGCAATCTGGCTGGGACACAAGCCATTGTCCAGCAGGGGCGGCATGGAAGACTGATGATAAGGCTGTACAAAGCTCTTTAACCCACAACTAGGGATGAAACCTAGCTCTTAGCCAGCTGGCATCTCTCTATGATTACTAGTCAGCTAATGGGACATTCAGCACATCAGTGAAGGACAGACCAAATCTTCATTTTAGCTTTGGTATTAAATATCTAGGTTAAGTTTTAATAAACTAATGACTAATGAGTTTAAGCTTATACAAAGTTGAAAGCCACATGGTTTGAAAAGCCATTGCAAAATAGATTTATAAATACATCAATTAGACCATACGAGGAAGAGAATAATTTTCAAGGGCAGCTTTCTTTTTCTAGCTTGAATGAGATGACAGGGGTGAGCAGAGGGGAACATGGGCAAGCCTCAGAGAGGTGTAAGGGGAAGGATGCGGTGACTCTGCGTTAAAGCTTTACTTTTACTGAATGTATGTACCAATCATTTCAATACGGTGGGCCTGATTCACCTTATTTCCAGGGGAGTGTACTTTCAAAGAGTCCCTCTATGTTGTATGCCTGTATCTGATACAGCTTCTATAAGGTGACTGATGTTGAACTCTGGCTGCTTTTGCTCAATGACTTCACTTAGGTCTATTAATAATCAGAAGTAATTTTGAATTAACAAAAAACAAAAAGTGAAATTTTCTTTGAGCTCTTACAAAGAGATGCACCACAGTTCTACCTGCAAAGCAAAAACAACAGAAAGATTTGACAGAAAAAAGAAACTATGTCACTCGTAAAGTAGAGGAAAGACGTGGAAAAGAGCAGTTGGTGAGTTCTCTTAGGAAACGAGGGTACAGGACAATGAGGCTTGTGGGAAGCTAGTGGAATTATCTGGAAAAAAAGGAAAGATTTACATGTAGATCTAATTTAGTTCTAACTTGGAGAACCGATGAAGCTTAGCTACAATAGAGTTGGAAGAAGGGAGAAAACAAAGTCAAACTAGAAAGAAAAAAGATACAGGTGAAGAGGTTTCTCAATACGTAGGAGGAAAGGGGACTGCAGAACGGATAACCAAAATATAATGATTCTATTCTACAATAAATTAAGCCATCATGTATTCTCTCTGTCTCTCATTTT